ATAGGAAAAGATCAATTTGTAAGGTAGTCTTGAAAAGATCGCTTTGTATGGTCCCACACAGGAAGAGATTCAGCATACCTCAAGAGTGTCTGTCAGTCAGAGAGAGATTCAGGTAGCCTCAAAGAGTGTCCGCCAGTTAGGAAGAGATTCAGGTATTCTTGAAAATATCTATGGAAAACACCACCATGGAAGCTGCTAACACTGTTCATCTATGCTATTTGTATCAGATGCATCATCACGGAACGCAGAAAACGATTCATCTAAGTATCATCTAAATAAATAGCATAGGATTTCAAGGGTGACGCTCAGAGCTACAACTGGATACGCTCGCTGTATCGTCCTCAAGGTGCTGTATCACTTGCATCCGACCTTTGTGTTAGGTCCTTATTGCGCCTAGCTTCCCCAATATTATGACCTTCAAACAATAAGGTTTGAATTTCACCGACAGAGCATTATCTTTCAATGCCAAGTCAGACAGGTGTTTGGGAGCCAGAGGCGCGTGCGCCACCCATGGTTGCTCATTCAGTACTAACCCAGCCAGCAGCCCTAGGGCATTCTGGGAATTTTTTCCAAGATGGCTGCCTTTCACTGGAGGTCCTAAGAGTCCATTTCGTACACAACCAACCTCGTACACATTTAAAATTGGTTACGAAAAATCAAAACTAGTTTTCTTGGTTGGCGCAGTTTCCCCCTGACTGAGAAAACTCGGTTGGCGCAGTTAAGTGGTTAATGAAGTGTACAGTAATTTTAAGTGTTAATTTTAGTATTGTGTTAGTATAGGTTACGTAAATTGTCAAGAATTCTTAGCTTCAAGATGTATGGCATCAATCAAGACGACGAACAACAACAAGGTAAGTTGAGGTTTCTAGTTCAATATTTTATAATTATATGTGGCAAGGCAATTCAAATTACATTGTCTGTGGTATAGAAATAATTGGAAATGGTCACTTTTGGACTCAAGAGGTGAAAAAGTACGTTAATCTGGAAAACGTGATAAATCGGCTGTGGGTTCTTCCCAAATGGTCCAGATTAGCGAGTGGAGACAGTATCTCTGAAACTAAACTTTCAACTTTGAGTGGCTTCTAAAATTCCAGTTTCTGACTGATTCCAACCATTTTGACATTGTGTGCTCAGCTGTCTGTTCTACAATCCCTCCAGAATGGATTTTTCAAAAACCCTATACGTTTGGAGTTATAATTTATTTTTGTCTAAATTTGCAGCATATTTCAAATGCCATATTGTATTGACAATTTTTTTTACAGTAAACTATACTGAAAACCTATATTCTAATTTGATGAAAATGAAAATCATATGCTATTCTGAGAGCATAAAACACCAAATGAACAATTGGTGATATTTTATATTTTTGAAGCTGATTTGAAAATCTGAAGTTTTCAATATTCAATTTTAAAATTATTTTCTATTTTCTACTTTTTTTCAAGTTATGTTGGCGATCATTTAGACAAAGTTGGAGTATTTGCCTAGTTGATTATGCACAAAAAATTAGAAAATGTTTGTGCAAGTTTGAAAAAGTTTAGTTATGTCAAATCGTATTTGTATGATATTATATTATATATAATATAATATCATATCGATCACCATTCCGGTTTCAAAGTCGCACAGTACAAAAAAATTGAGGCCAAAACAGTGCCGTTTCGATGGGATGTACTGTTTGAAGACAAGACATCCCTTGAAAAGAACAAGGGATTCATCAATGACAACATTCTGTCCAGATAAAAAGTAATCACGAAATTTCCATTTGATATCACTGAACACTTTTCGCACTCTCTAAAGTCGATCATTTCTATCAAAATTTGCAAGGTTTTCAAAGTGTAGGCACCATAGTAGTATCAGGAACCTGTCTTGCGACACGTACTTGTTGAACACAGCTGATGGAACAGCACATTCTTTGTTCCAATAATCCTGTATGACGCGGTTCACCGAATGTTTCATTAGCATACATAGAGAAAAGAACACATACAGCTCAGCCACGGTGGTGCCCTTCCAACCTATCATACGTGAAGCCTGTAATATGCCACCTTCAACAAGTTGCCCTGCATACCTGTTGGTTTCGGCAACAAGATGCTGCATGAACTACTAATCAAAATATGCAAGAAAATAGTCCATTTCAGTCATGTCGTCACCTGTGTACGGGAACATGGGTTCAACCCCCACATCACTATGATCAAATTGAGGTTTGTGTGGTACAAAAATATCACAGTCCTCCCACACAAATTCACCCGTTCTCCTTGTAGCAACGGCACGAGCGACTCCAGTATGGGTGTGTTTTCTTGCACTAAATTTCCTTTGGGGAGGAATTGGAGGTCTTCTACCTTGTCTACTAGTAGGGCGAGCAGGGAAAGTAAAGTAAATATAGAGGCAACACTGTTGTCGTGGGGGATACATGGTGATGCTTGGCAGGGCGACCTGCTAACACAGCAGATCTGCGCCTGGTAACACCGCGACGGCAGCTGCTAGCACTTAATCATCTGTACTACTTGTATCAGAAGCAACGTCACTAAACCCAGAAAATGACTCAACAGTATCACTTTCATCAAAAATGGAAGATGGAGGTGGCGGTGGTGGGGAAAATACTGGCAAGGATGATGACCTGTGATGCACCACCTGTACGTGCAGCTCACCCTGAATGATACGCCTTCACTGTATCATCATTATCTGTATCTGTTTCACTTCCATCGGACTCTTGTGTTATGTCCCAATCGGTCCTTGGGTCATTAATATAATATTCCACTTCATCTTCAAACAATAAAGTGTTTATCTCCCCTGGAGAAAGCGGTCTTTCAACAGCGCGTCCCACAGGCAATTGGGAGCCGAATGCGCGTGCGTTAATCACAGTTACTCGATCAGAATTGAGACTAACCTCGGGCCTGGGGCATTCTGGAAATTTTCAAAATGGCCACCACTCACTGAAGGCCTCAGGCATCCATCTCGTACACAACCAACCGCACGCACGTTTTGAATGGGTACAAAATATTCAAAAGGTGTTTTCTCAGTTGGCGCAGTTTCCAACCGACCAAGTTTTCTCGGTTGGCGCAGTCCAGTGGTTAAGGGTTAAACTTCAGTCTACTGTAGAGTGTATACGACCCACTCCCTTGGTATTAGCCGCCCATCCACCTGACCAAAAACCCACCCAAATAGCCGCCCATCTGCCTGCCCAAATCCACCCACCACACCCGAATAGCTGGCCACCCACACCTCCCACTCAAATAGCTGCGCACGTACACCATCCGCCCAAATAGCCACCCTATATGCCTTCCCAAATCCACCCAGCCCTTCTGAATAGCCATCCAACCACACCGCTCCCCCGAAAAAGCGGCCTTAGTCACTGACGTAGGATACATGTGAGGAAACTGGTACTGACCTGGGTAGTGACTGGTGGGGGATACATGTGTGGGACACTGGTATTGACCTGGGTAGTGACTGGTGCAGGATACATGTGAGGACACTGGTATTGACCTGGGTAGTGACTGGTGGAGGATACATGTATGGGACACTGGTATTGACCTGGGTAGTGACTGGTGGGGGATACATGTGTGGGACACTGGTATTGACCTGGGTAGTGACTGGTGTAGGATACATGTGAGGACACTGGTACTGACCTGGGTAGTGACTAGCAGAGGATACATGCAAGGACACTGGTACTGACCTGGGTAGAGACTGGCGGAGGATACATGTGAGGGACACTGGTACTGACCTGGGTAGTGACTGGTGAAGGATATGTAGCGAGTAAGCTGATACTCCCTCCATTATCTCATTATCATAATAGCATAACTAATTAGCACAAATTACAGAAGCTACAATCCTTTCCCCAATTACAGGTAATACTCTTCTCATCTTGTTGGAGGGAGCTGAGGTGTAATCACCATATAAGCAAGCGAATTGAATGAATAGCGGACAGTACATTTCCAGTCAAGAAGGTAGTACTGCGTAGGCAGTTCTAATCGACCCAAGACGCTACAGCTTCGACACAGAGCAGACAGCAGACAACGACCGCATCGAGCTACAACACTCTCGCTCCCCGAGTTCAGACACTCGCAATTCCCAATCAACCGCCACGCTCTCCCCCACATAGAGCTCCGTAACTCCGGCCTCACTCTGGCTGCTCTGCTCCAAGATCCATCTGAACGTTTACGACAATGCTACCAACCGACTACTGTAATCAAGACTACTAAATAAATATGAAAACTCACTAAACAATGTGGTTATCTTGAGGTTATCTTGAGATGATTTCGGGGCTTTTTTTAGTGTCCTCGCGGCCCGGTCCTCGACCAGGCCTACACCCCCAGGAACAGCCCGTGACAGTGACTAACACCCAGGTACCTATTTTACTGCTAGGTAACAGGGGCATAGGGTGAAAGAAACTCTGCCCATTGTTTCTCCGCCGGCACCTGGATCGAACCCAGAGCCTTCGTTTCTCGTTCCTGGAACGAACCCAGAACCACAGGATCACATCCAGCGTGCTGTCCGGGCCGACCGGCTCCATATGTGTATCTAATATACCCAACGTAACATAAACGTACGTTACAGATAAATGTGAGGACACTGGTACTGACCTGGGAAGTGACTGGCAAAGGATATATGTGAGGACACTGGTACTGACCTGGGTAGTGACTGGTGGAGGATACATGTGAGGACACTGGTACTGACCTGGGTAGAGACTGGTGGAGGATACATGTGAGGGACACTGGTACTGACCTGGGTAGTGACTGGTGGAGGATACATGTGAGGACACTGGTACTGACCTGGGTAGTGACTGGTGGAGGATACATGTGTGGGACACTGGTACTGACCTGGGTAGTGACTGGTGGAGGATACATGTGAGGACACTGGTACTGACCTGGGAAGTGACTGGTGGAGGATACATGTGAGGACACTGGTACTGACCTGGGTAGTGACTGGTGGAGGATACATGTGAGGACACTGGTACTGACCTGGGTAGTGACTGGTGGAGGATACATGTGTGGGACACTGGTACTGACCTGGGTAGTGACTGGCGGAGGATACATGTGAGGGAAGAGTTCATTTAGCGATGTTGTTGGTGTTGGTTGAGAGGCGACGACAAGTGGCAGTGACGGCTGTTGTTGTGGGGAGGGAGGAGCAGCCCTCGTACACCGCCCCGGCCTTATTGTACTCTCTTGTAAAATATAAATAAATAAATAAATATGTTTATTCAGGTAAGGTACATACATACAAGTGATGTTACATTAATGGATTGATATATAGATAGAGCTAGTACATACAATGCCTAAAGCCACTATTACGCAATGCGTTTCGGGCAAGAAAAACATTAATAACTAGAACTCAGATTCAGATTCAGATGTTTATTCAGGTAAGGTATATACATACAAGTGTACATACATACAATAAATGTTACATTAATGGATTGATATATAGATAGAGCTAGTACATACAATGCCTAAAGCCACTATTACGCAATGCGTTTCGGGCAAGAAAACATTAATATCTAGAACTTAATACTAATTGAGCATAAAGAATAAAAGATGTTGAGAACAAATACAAATAAAGATAAAAAAAAAGGGGGAACATGACTGAAAAAGCAGCACAAATACAAAAGGTTGACAAACAGTGTTGATTAAAAAAAAAAAAAAAAAAAAAAAAAATAACAGACATGGGTTGACAATAGAGGAGTGAGGTAGATTACAGGGAATTTATTAGGTAGTGTTTAGTTTTTATCTTAAACTGGTTGAGAGAGGTACAGTCTTTAACATGGTTGGGAAGGTCATTCCACATTCTGGGCCCCTTGATTTGCAGAGCATTTCTAGTTTGATTAAGACGTACTCTAGGAATATCAAAACTGTATTTATTTCTGGTGTGGTGCTCATGGGTTCTGTTACAACCTTCTATGAAGCTTTTAAGATCAGGATTGGCATTATAGTTTAGCGTTTTATATATGTATAATACACATGAGAGAATGTGCAGTGACTTAATATCTAACATATTAAGAGATTTGAGTAGGGGTACCGAGTGATGTCTGGGGCCAGAGTTGGATATTGTTCTAATAGCGGCTTTGTGTTGGGTAATTAGAGGACGTAAGTGATTTTGGGTAGTAGAACCCCAAGCACAAATACCATAGTTGAGATAAGGATAGATAAGGGAGTAATAGAGAGTCACCAGAGCAGGGCGTGGTACATAATATCTGATCTTAGAAAGAATGCCCACAGTTTTTGAAACTTTTTTTGATATATTTAGAATGTGTCCCTGGAAATTCAGCTTGTGGTCAATGAGAATGCCAAGGAATTTGCCATCTAATTTGTTACAAATTTGGGTATTGTTTATTTTGAGATTTATAAGACTAGAGGATTTATTGCCAAACAGAATATAGAAGGTTTTGTCAATGTTAAGGGTGAGTTTACTACCACCAAGAACTAACATGCTTAAAAGAAATTAGAACTAGAGACTGCTATGGGGAGTATATCTTCGCCAGCTTCAGAGTCAAGGGTGCCGAGTCTGTCCTGTCTGTGGGTGCAGTCTATAGAATTCCCAACACTGATGTGTCTGTATTCAACTCAAACCTTAGAAATCTAATACTTGATAACAGACTGAACAAAAACCACCTAATTATCGCAGGGGACTTTAATATTGACCTCTGCGAGCCAGAACACCCTACTGCTGTTAGCTTCCTCAACTGTATGAATTCCTGCCTCCTCATACCCTTAATCACTAGACCTACTAGAATCACTGATAGCACTGCCACGACTCTAGATCACATCTGGACCAACATAACCTCTCCGCTTACTTCAGGTATAATCACCGATAGCACTACAGACCACTACCCCACATTTCTCTTAACTAACATTAGCAAACCACCTCTAGAAACAAGGGAGTTAAGCTTTAGGCTGCACAATGAAACTGCTATAAACAATTTTATAACTGCTGCTGATAATGTCAACTGGGAGTCCGAATTAGGTAACATAGGGGACATCAACCTAGCAGTGCAATCTTTTCTACAAACAACTCTTAGCCTTTATAACACCCACTGTCCTAGGCTTACAAAACAAGTCACAAGCAAAAGGCTTAACAATCCTTGGCTTACAAAGGGAATACTGAAATCCATTAACAAAAAACACGACCTTGAGAAGAAGTATAGGTTAGGAATTGTCTCCAAAGAATTCTCAAAGAATTACTCATTATTGCTAACTAAGATAATTAGACGAGCCAAAACTAATTACTACGAAGATAAATTTACTCAAATAAAGAGCAACATTAAACAAACTTGGAGCACAATTTCACAAATATTGGGATCAAAGAAATCTTTAAATAACAAACCGACTCTCCTGTCTAATAACGATGGTCAGCTTTCAGCCTCTGATTCTGCTATTGAGTTCAATAGGTTCTTCTCTTCCATTGGTTCATCCCTTGCAAATGATATTCCATCTTCCAGTACTGACATTAAGGACTATCTTACAGGTAACTATCCACAGTCTCTGTACCTAAAGCCTATTAACTCCACTGACGTCAATGAGATAATCCTTTCCCTTAAAACCAAGTCTGGTGCCCTTGAGGAGATACCAACTTTAATTTACAAAAAAGCCTCCAGATCTTTAGCCCCTGCTATTGCTTTGCTCTTCAACAAGTCACTTGAACTCCAAACCTTTCCAGATATTCTAAAAAAAGCGAGAGTAACGCCTGTCCACAAATGTGGTGACCCCACAGATGTTAACAACTACAGACCTATATCAATCCTGCCAAACTTGTCAAAAATTTTTGAAAAACTTATATACAAGCAGCTTTACTCATATCTAGCCAAACTCAATATACTTAGCCCTTGCCAATATGGCTTCAGACCCAAAAAAAGCACTAACGATGCACTTATTAGTATGCTTAACTCGATTCATACAGCTCTTGATAAAAAGGAGTTCCCTGTTGGGTTATTTGTGGACCTGCGTAAAGCTTTTGATACTGTCAACCACCATAACCTTCTTCTTAAATTACATCATTATGGAGTCAGAGGACACTCCCTACAATACCTCGAGTCCTACCTTACTGACAGGCTCCAATATGTTTCTGTGAATAATACAATTTCTCCCACCCTACCCATCAACATTGGTGTTCCTCAGGGCAGCATACTTGGCCCTCTCCTCTTTCTCATCTACATTAATGACCTTCCAAATGCCTCCCAACACCTCAAACCAATTCTATTTGCTGACGACACAACCTTCATTTACTCCAGTCCTGACCCTCTTGCTCTAAATGCCACAGTAAATACTGAGCTAAATAAAGTCCATCTTTGGCTAACTGCCAACAAACTCACCCTTAACATTGACAAAACCTTCTATATTCTGTTTGGCAATAAATCCTCTAGTCTTATAAATCTCAAAATAAACAATACCCAAATTTGTAACAAATTAGATGGCAAATTCCTTGGCATTCTCATTGACCACAAGCTGAATTTCCAGGGACACATTCTAAATATATCAAAAAAAGTTTCAAAAACTGTGGGCATTCTTTCTAAGATCAGATATTATGTACCACGCCCTGCCCTGGTGACTCTCTATTACTCCCTTATCTATCCTTATCTCAACTATGGTATTTGTGCTTGGGGTTCTACTACCCAAAATCACTTACGTCCTCTAATTACCCAACACAAAGCCGCTATTAGAACAATATCCAACTCTGGCCCCAGACATCACTCGGTACCCCTACTCAAATCTCTTAATATGTTAGATATTAAGTCACTGCACATTCTCTCATGTGTATTATACATATATAAAACGCTAAACTATAATGCCAATCCTGATCTTAAAAGCTTCATAGAAGGTTGTAACAGAACCCATGAGCACCACACCAGAAATAAATACAGTTTTGATATTCCTAGAGTACGTCTTAATCAAACTAGAAATGCTCTGCAAATCAAGGGGCCCAGAATGTGGAATGACCTTCCCAACCATGTTAAAGACTGTACCTCTCTCAACCAGTTTAAGATAAAAACTAAACACTACCTAATAAATTCCCTGTAATCTACCTCACTCCTCTATTGTCAACCCATGTCTGTTATTTTCTTTTTTTTTTTTTTTTTTTTTTTTTTTTTTTAATCAACACTGTTTGTCAACCTATTGTATTTGTGCTGCTTTTTCAGTCATGTTTCCCCCTTTTTTTTTATCTTTATTTGTATTTGTTCTCAACATCTTTTATTCTTTATGCTCAATTAGTATTAAGTTCTAGATATTAATGTTTTTCTTGCCCGAAACGCATTGCGTAATAGTGGCTTTAGGCATTGTATGTACTAGCTCTATCTATATATCAATCCATTAATGTAACATCACTTGTATGTATATACCTTACCTGAATAAACATCTGAATCTGAATCTGAATCTGAAAAATGATATTCCATCTTCCAGTACAGACATTAAGGACTATCTTTCAGGTAACTATCCACAGTCTCTGTACCTAAAGCCTATTAATTCCACTGACGTCAATGAGATAATCCTTTCCCTTAAAACCAAGTCTGGTGCCCTTGAGGAGATACCAACTTTAATTTACAAAAAAGCCTCCAGATCTTTAGCCCCTGCTATTGCTTTGCTCTTCAACAAGTCACTTGAACTCCAAACCTTTCCAGATATTCTAAAAAAAGCGAGAGTAACGCCTGTCCACAAATGTGGTGATCTCACAGATGTTAACAACTACAGACCTATATCTATCCTGCCAAACTTGTCAAAAATTTTTGAAAAACTAATCTATAAGCAGCTTTACTCATATCTAGCCAAACTCAATATACTTAGCCCTTGCCAATATGGCTTCAGACCCAAAAAAAGCACTAACGATGCACTTATTAGTATGCTTAACTCGATTCATACAGCTCTTGATAAAAATGAGTTCCCTGTTGGGTTATTTGTGGACCTGCGTAAAGCTTTTGATACTGTCAACCACCAAAACCTTCTTCTTAAATTACATCATTATGGAGTCAGAGGACACTCCCTACAATACCTCAAATCCTACCTTACTGACAGGCTCCAATATGTTTCTGTGAATAATACAATTTCTCCCACCCTACCCATCAACATTGGTGTTCCCCAGGGCAGCATACTTGGCCCTCTCCTCTTTCTCATCTACATTAATGACCTTCCAAATGCCTCCCAACACCTCAAACCAATTCTA